GGTTGATCCTTGCCGAACCTCTTCGTAAGTTTCAGAACATACGTATCAGATGGTGATTGGTTATCTAAATGAAGCTACCTGCTTTGATGTAGCATCAATTCCTGCGAGGAAAATGATTTGTGCCACGGCTATGGCTATGACTAGATTGAGTCTTATCTGACACTGCTCCTGCTTGAGGTTTCTGTCGTGAAATTCAAGACAAAGAACATTAATTAACACGGAAGAGCCAGAGAAATGAACTGCTTTATTGGTGGTATGACTATGCTACGGAGGGGTTACTTACATCAAAACCAGATAGGTGAGAACAGTTAAAGTCTCGCCCACTAGCGACAGCCCGCAGCCAATATAAGTGATGACTTCCAAGGCCACCTGATGTCTGTCAGGAATCTAAGTGAGGAAAAGGAGGTAGGCCAGACCATATGTGATTTAAACATGAATAGATAACATAATAACCTGTTAAACAAATAAATAAATAAATAAATAAATAAGTCATTCCCTAAATAAATAAATAATTTAATACATAAATAAATAAATAAATAAATAAATAAATAAAAAGTTAAACTGAATATACTGACCAAGATCCGGGCCGTACGAAATGATGTAAGCTATCTCAGTAGGTTAGATGATGATTAAAATGGCCTTTCTTGATGAACACTTACACTGTTAGTTTCTCGGAGTTCCATTTACAGAAAAAACAAACAAAACAAAAAAACAAACAAACAAACAAAAAAACAAACGGCGACACCATAATATGCAAATATAGAAAGATTTACTCACTTTTGTTTCTCCCACTTGCAAAAGAACCGCAAAGTTCGTGAGATGATTACAAGTACACACAACTTTAGTGTTAGTTTTGTTGACCAACGTGCATCCCCTGTTTGACCAGGAACCGTTGAATCGACTCCTGCACAAGAAACATGCAAATAAATGGTTAACAGGTAGATTTTAAGTTTTGGACCTGGATTAAATCAGGATGATCATTTATTTGACTTAAACATATACATAAATTAGAACCAAAAATTAGCTGGTGTGGATATTAAAATGTACCTGATGTCAAAGTCCCAAAATACACAAATTGGTATATCATCAAGTTTAGAAGGCTTAAAGAAAGAAAACGAAAACAGACTCAATAGAGGGAATGCGAAAGGGTTAAATTAGTATAGCCTAGTTTGTATGGACTTAGGGAGTTTTAAGGCCGATACACACGAGGGGTTTTGCTTCTGGACTTTGTTCCAGGGCCACACTCCGTGAGCAAAGCTCCTCCGTGTGTATCAACGATTTCATGGGCGTAATTCATTTTCGGGAGCGGAATTTCCACCCTGCAACATTCTCCACTACATTAAACCGGGAGCATATTTGGGAACAAAGATCCCTGGGCAAATTGAACAAACTTGAAAACGCTCCCTTGTTTGTAGCATAATATGGAGCAAGCTCCCATACTGTGCACCCCACTGTGTACTAGTCGTGCAAATCGACCCTGGAGCAAAATCCCTCGTGTTTATCGGCCATCAAATTGCGGTCCTACACTATAAACGCAGCTTTCATTTCTCCTCTTTTGGAATGTTGCCACTTTTCCGATTCCAGCACTTATGCCAGATTCCAACAGCTAAGAATAACACAAAGGCTTTCGTCATAGAGCCGAAGTATTATATGTAGTCAATAGAAAACATAATAAAAGCATGTTACGAAAAATTGTGTACGTCAAGTTCTAGAGCAATCTAGAACCGGAAGTCATTCAGCCGTGACCAATTTGTATAAGAACATTCCAGAACATTCTGATCCTTATGTAATTACTCAGATTAGAAACTGTGTCAAACTACTTAATTCAGCTCCTAATAGAAATTTCTAGAACTTTAAGGCTCATGTATATTAGAGCGAGAGTTTCTTCTGTAAGCTTAGTGCTGTAAATTCGTGAAGTTACCTTACGGAAATAAATTAGTTTGTTGCTGTTACCAGCGATCCAGAGTTTCGTCTGGAAACAATCCTGCTCTACAACGATACTCGTAACATTGGGGGCCTGTCCGGGAGAGCAGAAATTTGTTTGCTGGACTACCGTAACCAGGAAAGCTACAGGACAAGCGTAGCAGAGTGGATTTGGTGATCTGTGTGACCCGATTTCGTGTAAAAGAAGGTTTCGCTGTTATCCTGTGTGGACATTTCCAGACTGCGTGTCATACACTGTTATCCTTTGTGGACATTTCTAGGCTGTGTGTCATATGATATGGAGAAGTTTGTTGAGTTAGGCAAAACGTTTGCCCTGGAAGGAGCTGAGTTGCTTGCATTTGTGGAGAAGCGTAGAGAGGAAGAACGAGAGGAGAAACGTAGAGAGGAGGAACGAGAGGAGAAACACAGAGAGGAGGAACGAGAGGAAAAACGCAGAGAGGAAGAACGAGAGGAGAAACGCAGAGAGGAAGAACGAGATGAGAAACGCAGGAGAGAGGAAGAAGAAAAAGAAGAGAGATTGAGGATAGAAGAAGAGGAGAAAGTGGAGAGACGTAGAAGGCAAGATGAGGAGTGGGAAGCGCGACGACAAGAGCGAGAAATAAGAAAACTGCAAATGGAGGCTGAGCTTCAGAGACAGAAAGTGGAAATCGGAGAAGCCCAGAGAAGAAATGAAACGTTTAGAGTTGGAACAGACCCATCAGTGGCCTGGTGCTCAAGCATCTAATAAAGAGGACAGAGCGAAAGCTCCTAAACATCCTTCTTTCGTAGATGGAAAAGATGACTTGGATGCTTATCTTCAGCGATTTGAGAGATTTGCAACTACCGCAAAATGGAATAAAGCTGGATGGGCAACCAAGCTGAGTGCTTTACCCTCGGGTCGAGCGCTAGATCTTTACTCCCGCCTTTCAGAAGAAGCAGCCTCAGATTATGGCAAGATGAAGATAACTCTTATGAAAAGGTATGATCTTACAGAGGATGGTTATAGGCGTACATTTAGGGTCTCAACGCCTGAGACTGACAAGAGTCCAGACCAGTTTATAGTTCGATTGTCAACTTACCTGATTCGGTGGCTCGAGTTATCGAAAACGGAGAAGACATATGAAGGACTAAAAGATTTGATCGTTAAAGAACATTTCATTAATTCATGCCCTAAGGAACTTACTGTTCACTAGCGTGAACGAGCACCTGAAACCCTAGAGGAGATGGCGAGAATTGCTGACCAGTACTTACAGGCGCAGGGAAAGCATGTGTTTTGTCCCGCACGGAACAAGCCGCCTACCCAACCGGAGAAGGAAGACAATAAGAAGCCACCAAGTGATACGTCACCACTGTACTGTTTCAGGTGTAATGGTCGAGGACATAGGTCTGCTAACTCTCCGACCAGGAAATGCCATTTGTGTGGCAGGCACGGCCATGAAGCAAGAAACTGTAAATCCAGTGTGCCAAGGTCAGGAGGACAGATCAAAAATGGTAACCCTGTGCGCCGAAATCAGGTTGGCGCTGGATGTTTAGTGCAATCTTCATCACCACAAGCTACAACAGAAGATATCCAGGCATGCATTGAGGGTGGGCAACTCCTCTTAGCCTGTGGAAAGAAAATTCCTTTACTAAGTAGTGCCTGTGTTCAGCCCTTATCTGGAGCGAGGAGTAAAATGCCAGTGGTTACAGGGAAGATAGGCGACAAGACTGTCGATGTGCTAAGAGACACTGGTTGTAGTGGTATTGTAGTGTAAAAAGAGCTCGTTTCGGAAGAACAGTACACAGGTGACTTTAACTGTATGTTGTTGATTGACAGTAATGTGAGGAAGGTACCAATTGCTCGGATCACAGTAGACACCCCTTACCTGTCTGGGGAAGTCGACGTGCAGTGCCTTCCTGATGCGATATATGACTTGATAATCGGTAATGTGCCAGGCGCCCGA